AGCAGGTGCAAAGGCACTGGGGTAGGAATGAGCTTAGAGGAACAGGAAGCTGGGCAGTATAGCCAGGCCATAGCACCTGAGCAGGAAAGAGTATGAGATAATAGCATGTAAGTGGTGAAGCTAGGATCTCAACCCCAAGAGTTGGATTTCTAAGTCCTCTGCTCTTTACCTCTTCTCTATCCACCCATACGCAGGGGAGGAGTAGCTGGTCACCAAAGACAGATTTCCTGTATACTGTGTCACTCCTCTCACTGCATGGTTCCAAGATTTTCTTTGAGCAACTGCAGTATTTAAAATACCACATCAGGGGGCGCCTGGGTGGCTCAGTCGTTAAGCATCTGCCTTCGGCTCAGGTCTTGACCCCGGGGTCCGGGGATCAAGCCCCGAATCGGGCTCCCTCCTCGGCAGGAAGCCTGCTTCTCCCTCTCCCACTCTGCCTGCTTTTGTTCCCGCTCTCGCTGTGTCTCTCTCTCTGTCAAATAAATAAATAAAATCTTTAAAAATAAATAAATAAATAAATAAAAAGTAAAATACCACATCAGGGGCACCCCGGTCGTTCGGCTGGTGGAGCGTCCTTCTCTTGGTTTCAGCTAGGTCATGATCTCAGGGTCATGGGATTGAACCCTGCATCAGGCTCCACACTCAGTGGGGAGTCTGCTTGAGATCCTCCCTCTCCCTCTGCCCTTCCCCCCCACTCATGTTCTCTCTCTAGTAAATAAATAAATCTTTCAAAATAAAATAAAATACCACATCATCTACCTGGTGGGGGCCTTCTGCTCCTCTGAGAAAAAGAGTGTTCAGGTGCGGAATTAAATTGAGGGGTAACTGACCCTGTAAGGTCCCACTGGATCTTCATGCAAACTCAAACTTAGTCCAAGCAAAAAGCTTTGGCAGATTTTGCTTGGCTGGGAGTGGGGAAGTCGATGAACGATGTTTCCCCTTTTCTTTTTCACTTTCATACGCCTCTGGGCTGGTGGTTCTTGGCCAAGGTCAGAGGTACTAAAATACCACAAGAAAGAAGACCTTTGAAGTGATCGTCTGTTCAGCCAAGGGGGAGGTTGTGTTGCCCAAGGGCTCACCCAGGAATGTAACCTTCTGGAGCTTTAGCTGGAGTGCCTAGGAGGCCCCCAGAGACATGTGGAAGCTTTGGAGTTGGTTTGGAAAAACATCTGAACTCCTGGTTGGGGATCTGAGCCGAGGCTGCCGCCCTCTGGGAGCCTTCATTTGTTCTCAACCGACCAACGGAAGCCGCCTGTTCAAGGTCTGAGCTGGCTGGACCCCTGCCTTCAATTTGGGGACCCTGGGAGAGCAGATGCCAAATTGCTCTTTGAGAATCTACCCTGCAATCTCTTGTTCCCCAGTTCAACGATTTAGACAAAGTTATTTGACCCTGAGAATGACTGATCTGGAACGTGGTCGTTTCATCCGTAAGCTCCACAAGACATTCGCCATTCCAAGTGTGGTTCACGGACCAGAAGCATCCACGTCACCTGGGAGGAGCTTGCAAATGCAGACTTTCAGGTCTCGCCCCAGGTCTACTGAATCCGAATCTGCAGTTTAACAAGATCTCCACTCATTTGCATGCACGTTCAAGTTGAAGAAGAGCAGACAGCTTTGTCCAACACGTACAGTGCTGCCATTCCTCCCTGCTGTGTCTATGGCATACATAATCCATCACAGAGTTGTTCTCTTCTGAGTTCAGAATCCTCCCAAGTCGTTCCAAGCCGCACTGGCTGAAGCTTAAATCTACCGTCTCCATTAATGTCAACCCTCGCAGGGAGCTCTGTGCCACTTTTATTTCCACCCACATCTTTCCAGTGCCGAGCATAGCATTGGGTGTGTCAGAGGTGCCTGATAAATGTTTGTGCAATGAAGGTATCTTCCCCTTGGCTTTTTTTTTTCTTCCTGTGGCATTCACTCTACTTGGGCCCATATCCCCAGAACACTTAGCTTCCATGGGACATTCGGGTGGGCCGGCTTCTCTCCTAGGTGTTGAGCTGTGTTGTTGGCAGTTATGTCTAGGGAAGTTGAAATGAGTTTGTAAAGATGTCGGGACCCCATGGAGACACATGGGAAGCTGGCTGGCTGGCACGTGGACCTCAAACCATATAAGCTTCCTCCGGGACGTGGCCCCTAGTGACCCAGCTCTAAAAGATGGTGGCCATGTGAACCAGGCTGCGTGCAAAGGTGGGGAGTGGGGAACGGATAGGGAAGGAAGGAACAGGCAGGAGGAATGGTCAGACCAACAGGGCTCTAAAGACAGAGCAATAATGATTATAAATAGCATCCTTTTGACGGCCGTTTGATGTACTGTCCAAGGCCAGGTGGAAAATCTTTCCTCCCCTGCCTTTCCCCCACTAATCGCCTTCCCCTCATTTTTCAATAAAGATTCTGAGTCCAGTCGGTTGCCTGTCTGGAGCATTTGTTTTCCATTAGAATACCTTTTGCAATTTCGGTGTGTTATGCTACATAATTGCTTTAATAACAAACTGAGGAAAGACTTTTGAACATTTTAGGAAGTAGGTTTTTTTTTTTCCCCCTTCAGTGAAAAATCTAACAGACACTGACAAAGGACTTAGGAATAGTCAGAAGGGGGTGGAAAAAAGGTTGGTAGGGGAGGGGATGAGGTGCCCGACTTTCTGGGCCAGGAGCCACAGGTAGAGATCAGCAATCAGGGGCCTTCTCCCATTGCACGGACAATGGTCAGGGGCCAGGACGCTCGTGAGCAGAGAGAGGGAGCTTAAAGATTTGTCAGGCTTGGAGTGGGTGAGCATGAAGCCACATCCTTCCTGCAGTTAATCGGGAGAGAACTCCAGAGATATGCATTGGTTTAGGTACACAGATAGGAAGGGTGGGCATCTGGAAGTCCATGTCCCTGCAGAGTTGCCTCATTGTGCCCACTGTCCTGTGTGTGAGTAATTCATTAAAAAAATGCTAACTGGGGATGCTTGGGTGGCTCAGTTGGTTAAGCACCTGTCTTCGGCTCAGGTCATGATGCCAGGGTCCTGGGATCAAGCCCCACACTGGGCTCCTTGCTCAGCAGGGAACCTGCCGCTCCCCCTGCTTGTGCTCTCTCGCTCTCCCACGCCCTCTCTCTCTGATAAATAAGTAAAATCTTAAAAAAAAAATGCTAACTGGCTTGGTCAGGGAAAATAACAATTCTATCTGTTCAGATGCAAGAGCACTCTGTACCGCACTTAAGGTACTTTGTGTCTTTTAATTGCCCCCACAACACTTGGCCAGATGAACAAATCAATAATGGATAACACTTCGAGCGTGCTCACTACTCCATGCTTCACACGGTTCTAAACCTTTTACATATATTCATGTGCATAAACTTTTCAATAAGCCTACAAATAGGTGAGTGTAACTTTTATTTCTGTCTGGCATGGGGAAACTGAGGCTCAGACAGGTCAAGGTCAAGGTTAAAAACGCACGAGAAAGTGGCAAAAACCAACATTTGGATGTTGGCGATCTGACTCCAGGGTCTACATATACTGGTCTCAGTGGTCGTTGAAGAGATGATGGCACTGGGCTACTTTTGCGGCCCTCTGCTGTCCAAATGAAAGCCCTAAGCAGGACTTCCCAGTGCCCTGTGCTAGGGCCATTGTGTGGATCATGAGGTGAGGGCTGGTGATAGCGGGGCTGGTGGGAGCGGGGCTGTTGCTATTGCCCAATGAGCGTTCGTGGTGTTCTGGACCATGCAGTGACGATGCAGACAGGTGACCAGATTCAAAATACGGTAGGATGTAAGCATGGTAGGACTTCGCAATTGATCAGACACTCAGACATGGGGCGTGAACGGAGAGTGATGTGCCCATTTGAGAGAGAAAACAGCAATGCCTGACCTCTGGGGAGGAGGTATTTCAGACCAGACCCCTACTCTGGCAGTCCGAATGGGTTTCGTTTCTTCTGCTAGCTCCAGTAGAATGTAAGCAGCTAGAGGGTGGAGTTTGCTTTTTATCCAACGCCATATTGCACGACCCTTAGAATAGTGCCTGGCACATTTGAGACCCTCAACTGAGAGTTGATGAGTAAAAGATAGGGACCACAAGTCATGAATATGCCCCCATTTCCATGCTTCCTTGGGTTGGAAGCATTGTCACAAGTATTGGACCTGCATCTAGAGATGCCCACCCTTCCTATCTGTGTACCTAAACCATTATTGATTTGTTCATCAGAGGGAAAGAGTATGGGGATCTTGTGGAGGTTGTGGAAAATGCACACTCTGGCGCCACCCCACGCCGCCCCCCGGAGATTTGGATTCAGTGGGTTGGGGGCAGGGCCCAGGGATCTGAATTCTAACAAGCAGCTAGTCTACAGATCACACTTTGAGAAGATCATACATACTATGTAGACGTACGGCCACAACTCACCTGTGATGGCAAAGTCAAGGCTGAGAAAAAGAAGGCTATGGTCTTGGACAAAAACGCCAAGTCCTTAGAATGTCCTGGAGATGAATATGCCCCATTTCCACGCTTCCTTGGGTCTGAAGCCCTGCTTTCTATCACCTGTGGGACCTGAAGAAGCCAAGCCAAGGGATATTTTTTTTTCCCTTCATGATATTGTTATCCAACATGAAGGAGCATTTGGGGAACGGGGGTACATAAAGTAGAGTGGGGCAGGGAGGTCAAGAGGAAGAGGGAGCAGCCCTTCCTGACCGCCTCATGGCCTGTGAAATATGCATGCACATTTGTTCAACTGTCTAATGTCCGCCGCTCAGTAGGGTGGCCGGCGCTGCTTTGTAGCCAGCTGGGTGTGTGTTCTAATCTTGGCTTTGTCCCATGCAGGCCATGTGACCTTGGACGGTAGACTTAAGCATTCTGAACCTCAATGTCCACATCTGCAAAATGGAAGAGTTATAGAACCTACGTCATAGGATTGTTGTGAGGATCGGTTATCCAGAACACAGTTCTCGAGTAACTTCAACAGGCCAGGCATTGTTCTAGGTTCTGGAGACCCAAAGGCAGCCAACACAAGCAACAATCCTGCCCCTCTCCAGACATATTCTAGTAGGTGGGTACAAAGTTCTTGGCATGAGCCGTCTGCAGGCATCATCCTCCCCCATGTCACAGACAGGGACCGTGGGGGTTCAGAAAGTTTACATCACTTACTCCTGGTCACGCAGCTGGTGAGAGTTGAAGCTAAGATTATTTTTTTTAAGGATTTAATTTATTTATTTGAGAGAGAGAGAGAAAGAGCACACAAGCAAGGTGAACAGCAGAGGGAGAGGGAGAAGCAGGCTTCCTGTGGGGCAGGGAGCCCGATGCAGGGCTCAATCCCAGGACTCTGGGATCATGACCTGAGCCGAAGGCAGATGCTTAACCAACTGAACCACCCAGGTGCCCCTCGAAGCTGAGATTTGATTTCAGTCTGCTGCATTCTGAGGCTCCTGGTCTCCAGGCTCTCCTTCAGACTGGGGGACAGGCAGGGAAACCCAGCTCCATAACAGGGGCAGAGCATAGAACTGGCCAAGTACAGAAAAGAGGAGAGTTGTTCTAGAGAGTCCACATGGGGAGAGAAGACAAGCTCAGGCTGGCTTGGCCCATGGTGTTGTTCCTCTAACAAAGCATTTTGTCTCTCCCTTTCCCTGGGAGACTTGGGGTTAATCAAGAAACCCAAACAGGGATGACCCAAGCTTGAACTAGTCTGGCAAGGAATAGTACAAGGAAGAAATCAGCCAAGAGCTGAATCCATTCCAACAAACAAGGGTATTTCTTGGGCATATGCCAGGAGGGCACCAATGCCGAGAGCCTCTAAAGTGTAGTCTGGAGGAGGAAGGAGAGAAACGGGAAACTTATTTTTGACGTTGGCACTCTCAGAGATGAGAAGGAACCTGCCTATTCTTAGCTGCGTCTGGGGGCTCGGCGAAAGCTCTCTTGCTGAATTATAGACAAGGCGAGCATTTATTAACTCTGGCCCCATTGCAGCCTGGCTGCTAGGCAGATTCCAGGAGATGTTATCTGGAAGGTGCATCACTGTGTATAAATATTTCAGAGGTCAGGACCCAACACAGAGTTTGAACTTTCAAGGGCCTGAGTGTGTTTATCAAGGAATGGATATTTAGGCTTCATTTCTGGGTGTTGGGTAATCTGGAAATCACTTTGGATGGCTGCTCAGAGCAAACGCTGATTGCCTTATGAGGCCTGGGATGAGGTCCACGTAGCATTGAAAAAATCTGCTTCCATGGTAGGTTCTGGCTTTGCATCCTTAGGGCATCTTCCACAGGCAGGAGTCCGCAAATCAAGAAGTTCAGGGAACCTTCCGCTTTGTGAGAATCTCCTAATGAAATGCTTGGAGATCTTGTTTAAGGTAAATCTGATTAGGAGACAGCGGTGAGGCCTGAGGACATGGGTAACAAGCTCTCACGTGGTGTTGATCCTGTTGTTCACGCCCACCCTTCCTGCAGCAGGTTTCTAGAGTCTTCCGACCTCTTGGTGCCATATTGCTTTTTATACCATATGGCTGGAAAATCCACTTTGCAGCAGTGAGAAATGTGTTTGGCGGTAAGTAACAGAACATCTAGCCTCAGTGGCTTGGATAGGGGGTTTCAGAGCAAATGCATAAAAAATCTAGGGCAATTCCAATAGCTCACTGCTAGCATCGGTGATCCGGGTCTTCTGTTTTTCCTTCCCTGTTCATTTTCATGCTTGTAACCCCATGCAAAGCACCTCTTGTACCTTCAAGCTGCACATCCGCATTCCAGGGATGTGGGAGCATCCCAGGAAGTATGAGCAAACAGCGAACCATTTCAGAGACCTTCAGCTTATGTCACATTAGTCAGCACTAAGCGACATGGATGCCCCTCGCTTCCTGGAGCCTGAGATCACAAATATTAGTAACCGAGCACCCCACTGCCCTGCAGTTTGGGGGTGGGTATGGGGGGGCAGCCGGTAGCCCCTACCACCGTGCTGTTCAAACTGCTGGGCCCAAATATACACAACTACCATTTGAAGACACAGAGCACCAAGGAGCATTAAAAAAACTAACTCTGATCATCAAGGACTTAGTATGTACTAGGAACTGTGTTAAATGCCTTTTTACACAGATTATTTTGTTTAGTCCCAAAAATTCTTTGGAGTAGAGATTCTTCATATTCTCGGCGACCTTACTTCAATGTCTCAAATGTGTTGTGTTATTCTCCATCACTGTGTCTTTTCACAGGCTTAGCCTACTGCCTAGAACGTTCTAGATCCCTTGGCCCCGTGGCATGCTGGTAGGTGATTACTAACTGGCTCTTCGGGGGAGGGAGGCAAAAACAAAAAGCAAAACCTGATCTGTAGCATTTGCCAGTTTCTGTGGTGTAAACATGGCCACTGTGGCCAATGTCCAGCTATACACATGACGTCACCGAAACATGGGGTCGGGAAGAGAAGCCTCACCAGCTCAACTGGTCATTAAGGAGCATCCCCACCATCTGACTATAACACTCACAAATGATCCTGAGAGCACAGAGGTAGTAGGATAATGAGGACGTGATGAGTTTTGAGAACGTATTACTTTTTTTTTTTAACATAGCATATTTAATTTTATGTATATATAATTTAGTTCTTATTAATGACAGTGCTCAGTGAGCAGCTTGCAAAATTCCTGAGACGAGAACTCTCTCTGCTCACGTGGCGTATGGGCCAGGTCCAGCCCACGGCGACTGCAGCCTCACCAATGCTTCTTCTTCCTCCGGATCCCATTGCAATCACTTTGTAGCAAAGCCCCCCACGGAGCGCCCATCATGGACCCTCACAGCACATAGCTCACCTTCACCAGGTCAGTTAGAATTATGATTTTGTGTTTATTTGTATGAGTCTTTGGATCATGGTTATTCTCTTCCCTGGACAGGATTCGGTTTCTTCCTCATCATTGTATTTGGGGCACCTAAGTGTCTGGCACGTAACAGCTATGTAAAAGTCACTGTCAACGGAATGAGAGCAAAGAGAGTTAAAAAAAATATGCCTGATCACTGAGCTGGGACATATATACTCAGGACTATCCAATTCCAGAGTTGTGTGTAAGTGTGTGTGGGTGTGAGTGTGTAGCTTCAGGATGGCAGTTGGCAGGGTAAGCTGACCTACAGATCGGAAGAAATAGCTCTTGATAATTGAGTAACTTAACATCATGACAGGGTAACATATGTGTTACGATTTAATCTTTAATACATCCTTTGGAATTTTCTTCTCAAGACTAAAAAACTAAAAATCCTGATTAACTCAAGCAGATGATAACCAACCTCTTTCCTGTGATCAATTAGTGGACAGGCACATGGCCCCGTTCTGGCCAATAAAACATGAGGAAAGTCTTGGGTGTCCATGGGAATGCTCTCTTGCTCTTGAAAAGGAACACCGAAAGGACAATAATGAAGCAGTGATATAACACGCAGATTAACGATGAGCTCTCTGGAGTGGGAAGGGAGAGAAATGTGATTGGAGGTGGATACACAGAAAGATCCAGTAGTGTAAGTCCTGTTTCTAACACTGATCAGTAAGTTATATGAACATGAATTTTACTATTCTTGAAACCTACTAGGTACATGATGTGTAAGTAACATATAATTAAATAAAATCATAATATATGTATATGTGTATGTCAGTACTTGTTTATAGGAAATACTTTAAAACAAAAATATGAAAAAAATCCCAACGTGGGGAAAAAATAATCTGTTCTACCTGGACATTATTGTGTCCTGGTGGGAGGCTAAGAAATATGCGAGTATAAGAGGGCCTTAAGCTGGAATCAGATCTACTCTTTTTTTTCTCATCCTTTTAACAAAAGTTCTTTGAGCTCCTATCTACCCAGCATGGAGCTAGCTGTCAAGAATACAATGGTGAGTAACGCCAAGGCTTTTGGTGATGAGTTTGAGCCACTGAATGAGCCAAGGTCGGGATTGCTCTACAGCTGAGTGATCTATTCTGCCAGATTTTATATCTTACAGATGCATATGTATACGAACATTCTGATATTGGACATGAAGTTTAACTTTGCTGCTTGCACCTGAAGTCATCCTAGTAGACACAAGGAATGCAAGCAACATGCTTGCTTGGCTCATGGAGAGATCCCCACACCCCATGTGTTTGGCATATAGTCACACATCAGGTTGAAGCTTGGTCCATGTGAAAGCATCCCTATAGGCTACAAGATAGAGGGACAGGAGGACAATGAAGCCATAGCAGGCTCCAGAAGATGTCCCAGCAGGACGGATTGGAGTCCAAGAGAAACTCTCTCAGGTCATCACTGGGCAGAAATGAATCGATGAGCTCCAGTAACAAAAGTACAGCTTAACGCTGCATGCATCGTGATGGAAATGTTGTGTGACCTCTTGCTTGGTTGGACCTAATGAAACTTTTGTCTGTTAACTAATAAGTTAACAGAATTTGACAGGTAAAGCCACTTGAATGATCAATTATAAAACCGCAAATAAGTGAAATTGCATTAAAAAAAACAAAGCCGAGGCTTCAGGGAGAGCCAGTGGGAGGTTCGTGGAAAGCCTACCTGAGCTGACAGTGAGGGTTTGGTTACACCTGGCCCCTCGTTCTCTATGCTTTTCTGCTAGTAAGTTTCAACTGAAACTTTACTTTGCATGTCCTTACCCAGGTTCTGGGGAAATAAGCTGACCGACCTGACATTTGATGCTCACCTTTAATTTCCAGCTTGAGTGGGTGCTGAAGAAAAGCCATGTATAGTCGGACAGTAACCCTGGGGTCAGTTTGGTGCCTCAGTCCATAAGCATTCATTGAGTGCTACTGCATGCCAGGGCTGTTCTTGGTGCTGGCAATGAATAAGGCACAGTGTCCCTTCCAATAATCATGGATAAGATGTATCGAGCACTTACTCTGTGTTAGGTACCATTCCAGGTGCTTTACATTTATACATGAAACCCTTAGGAGGTAAGTGAAAATTTTATCCCCATATTACAGATAAGAAAACTGAGGTCCAGAGAGGTCAAATAATGTCCTAATATCACCCGACCAGTATACAGAAAGCCAGTAAGGGAAATTAATATGTCCAAATCTGAACCACTGATC